CAGAGTTGTGGGGAAGAAGGGTACTGGGAAGTGTGTTAAGAAGGGAGGGAAGGGGAGTGGGTGGTGGTGGACGGGCAATTATGAGGAAAGCAAAAAAGCTAATGGGAAAAGAGAAAGAGAGAAAGAGAGAGGGAAACTAATACAAAATAAAGTGCTATTTACTTTTATCTCTCGAGAGTGGTACGGTTTGACTCCCTTCACTATTGGGTTTTGAGTTTTGGTGATTTACAGTTTAAGAAATTTACCATTTTAACTCCCACCCAATTCCTCTTTTGACAAGTAAACACATTTTCCATTTGCCCGTATTAAAAGGTTGTAAAACGAATCGTTTTGAGGGCATACCGTCTTAATATCTATTGAGCTGCTTATATATATATAATTTCATTAAAAAATTTACAAATTATAATATAATATTTTCATTTATGATTACGCTGGAAGGGAACTTTTAACTAGTTACTATGAACCCTGGAAGATTTTCTACCTGAAACTGGAAAAAATTTTAGATTTTTGATCAAATACCAAACTGAAATTGTTGGAAAGGTAGAAGGGCATAGATAAAAAACGAAGTGAAATTTTTTTTGTGAAATGTCATCAAATCTTCTTCCCCAAAAAACTTTGGAATTCAGATACAGAATCACAATCCTTTTCTTGAACCCTAACTAAGAAAGAAAAAGAAAACAAGAACCATCACCTGAAAATATATAAAAGGAACCAGGAAGAAAAAGCACAAGCCAAGAAAATGCTCTCGTTATACTCAAAATTTACTACTCAATTTAAGGATCTATTCAATTACATTTACCAGTTTCTAAGTATTCCTAAAGTTGGAAACAGGAAGCCTTATGGCTCAGATGATAATAAAACAAGAAGGATGGAGAAACAGAGGGAGAAAATAACTATATAGTGAGGTTTTCTGTCAGAAGCCTCGTACTTTAGGTCTTTTTTTTCTTCTGCTGCTGCAACCTCTGCAGTTTCCTCCATTTGAGGAAGATCTGGTATGATAACCCAGAGAAGACCATGGCCACACATCCCCACTGCTTTGCTGACAGAGGATTGCCACTGAGCAACGAGGAAACCACAATGCTGACAAATTTGCGAGTAGTGGTGATGGTGGTGTTAGCAAGAGAGCCGAATCGACTAATAGTCAGAAAGATGAAATTCTGGCCCACTGCACCGCAGAGGCAATATAGGAAGATATCCCACGCTGCCTCCGGATGTTGCTTGCAGAACTGGACTGCCTCAAATCCACTACCATGTGGCCAGCCAAACATGTAGATCATATTGTATATGGTACCCCATAAGTTCATTCCTAGCATTATATCCCATGCACTTGTCTTAGGATACCTGAGGATTAAAAAAAACAGAATTTGTTTGAGAAATACATACATAGAGGGTTGTGCAGACATCTACAAGTACTTAATAAAGAACCCTCTTTCAATATAGAAAAAGATAACGGAAAATACAAAATCCATATACCCTGCAAATATGATAAAATAAGAACGCAATTATTTTTAAGACAGAAAAAGAAGAACATAGTTGAAGTTCAAAAACAGGTAGCATGCTTTAAAGACCTTTGTCAGTTGTATGATGATTGCATACTTATTTTGTGTTGACCATGTGCACTAAATAAAATTACACAGCAGTATTATTCATACATAATTTGGAGGCAAATGATGATTAAGGAATTCTTGAAAATTAGTTCCATACATAAATTAACTAGTGAAAAGTTAATAAAATGGAATGGATGGGGACAGAGATCTCATAATTCAGCTACCCCAGAGTAGCATAGGTATCATTTACAGGTTATCTAGAGAAGTCAGAGCATGAACAGAGGCCATGGCCAAGAAGGATGGGTTTTTATTTAATAGTGTTTACTTTGAGAACAGAATAAGTGGGAAACTGGGAATTTCCTTGTCATATACCTAAATATTACATATGAAAACTACCGAAGCACTCATTAAAAAGGATGGCATATTTTTAGCATGCTATGGCTCTACCCAAAAGTAGAATCTCTGTCAATTGCAAGTTATATTCCTAACATTGTGTACTTACTTTGGTAATAGAACAGAACAAGTGAAAATATTGGGAAATAAACAAATAATCTTAAGTATCAAACACCTAAACTATGCATATCAAACTCGTAAAAGAATTCATCAAGAAAAGGTTTATATTTACCTTGCAGTTATAGAGTCCTGAGTAGCATTTGTAAAGCCATCAAAAGCAAGGTTCAGAAAACAAAGCCCATAACCAAGGGGTGCATTCGGATGTGCTAGCTTGCTAATTGTTTTTGAGCTAGTCTGAGAACCATCAGTGAAAGCAAGAAGTAAACAAGAATCAGGACAACAGAATCTTGGACCTTTACAAGATTAAATGCAAATAATGGCGGAAATAAAAGCAAGGCAGAAAGTTAACATAAAATACATTTTACCTTCATAAGTGCAAATGTGGATACCCCCCCAGCAACAAGGAAAGTACAGACATATTCTGGAATAGTGTACCGAATACCATAAACGAGGGTGCCCATCAACATGACTGAACAACAATAAAACCAGCATGAGTTAATTTTGGAAACATCTGAACCGATAAACATCAAATGAACCACAGCTTGATGAATTCTTAATATTTTGTGAAAAGATAAAGACTTATCACATATATTATAGGTTTTACCACTTAACGAACAAGCTAATTCAATTAGAATTAGCCCAAGTTAGTGGAAGGAAGGGCCATGGTGATCGATGCACTATGCAAACACAACAAAACCATTTTCAACTTGCTCTTGACGAAATGCAACATATTACTCACAGCTTAGAATTCATTGCAAATGAAGATTTCTTGTCCATACTTCTCCATGCAAATCAATTCTCAATTACAAGGAAGAGAAGATAAACAAATAAGCTCTACCAAGGAAGAAAAGTAAAGGATTCTAGATGAAGTTTTCTTTTTGGAGAAAAGAGGTATTATTAGAACAAGAAAAAGGAACTACACGCGAAAGAATTACAAACTACCATCCTCCAACAAAAAGTAAAAACATAAAAACAGTAAAAGTAAGGAGCATGCAGCGGATAGAAGTATCAAAATCGACAATTGCCAGCCCATTTTGTAAAGCAAATTTTGAATGAAGCATCATCAACAATTCAAGGGCTAAAAAATATTATGGTACTGTATCCAAATAAACATCCTTATTTAGAGAACTTTCCACTCATAACCCTAATTCATAATACTATTCCATAAGCAACTTTTCCTTTTTACCACAAGAGATTCAGTCAAAAAGGAATTCCAAATAAGTAGAATTAACCCCGATATGGAATGCAATTCCAACAATAGAACCATGTATAAAAGGAAACAATAATGTCGGCCCATGATGTCAACGGTCATGCTTGGTAAAATGCATGACCCTTACGTAAAAAATGTAAAGCCCACAGACTAATGGCTCTCTCACCTGGAATCATCTTCGATGACTTTGCCAGGACCTGCAAGAAAAGAGAGGAAAATCAATATTAAAAAACTAGAGTAATTAAAAAAGGAACAAAGGACTACATAAAAAAGTCGATCACAACAGAAAAAAAACACTGGAACTTATCAACTACAACATATATAGGTGTTTCACCGACAAGAAAACAGGATTTGAATCACATCAATAATTAATGATCAGTGCAAGACAATGTCAATAAAATAGCTTTAACCATAAAAACGTATTCTTTTTCTCTTGATTTTTTCCTAATAATAAGCAACTAAAAAATGGACAAAAAACAAGCTATTTCAAGAGAATTGGAAGTAAGACATGCCTGGGCTGGGTAACTAATATACTTCAATGCTTCAATACCCATGGCTGGACCGATTGTATTTGTAATGCCTGCACTCCAAAATGTCCACCAGGGCGCACCACCTCCACTGCTTCTTGACCACATCTTTATCACTAGTCATTAATAAACAAAGTTTCAGCTCCATCATGTTCGTCGGCTGTTAAGTGTAGTTAGTTGCAGACAAAAACCAAGCAACAGATCACAACAAAGTGGGTATTATGAGACTCACTTATATACGACCATATTAAACAGACTACATTCTGTGCCAAGTTCAGGAACGCAAGGTGCTCAAACCTCTTCCCGTCTGGGCCAAATCGCTTTGTTGACCTTCAACAAAAGGAAAACGTTATTATTTTGAGAAGAAACAAGGCTAGTTCTGCGGATTCACATTTTAATTGACTAATCCAAGATAAGTATAATATGTTGCCAGGTAATCCTATCTTCAACTTCTGTCGGTTAAACAAAAGTAATAAGAATAATAAACAATTTCGTCTTTCCTCTGAAAATAGATGATAGTTTATCAATGCATTTGAATCAAACCTTGAAACAACAGTGCTCGGTACTCCAAGTACTTACATTTAAATGCATGTAACTCGGAAAAATATTTAGTAAATAAATAATAATCACTGGGGTGTCCATTTTAATGGTTGTAGATTTCAGGATAGATAACTGTTAGAACTGTTTCCTAACCTAGATTCTCTTCATTTTCACTTGAACAAAAGTAGAAAACCATAAAATCAGAAAACAAGAATGAAGAATGATCCAGAAATGAAACAAATCACAGCAACCGAAAATGCTTTTTCAAATCAATAATGCTAATAACCAAATTAAACGCCAAAAATCTTTATTTTTTTTAAAAAAAAGAGAAGATAGAAATAACATTACTTACAGAGTCTCTTGGAGAACACCTTGATAGATGTAGGCAGCCCAAATTCCAGCGACGCAAAATGCTAAGACCAGCACTCGCCAGATTCCGGCGCCGTGAGCTTCCATCGCTTACCCCGGCGACGATTCTCCGATCACAAATTCTCGCAGAATTTTCCAAAGATGGGAAATATAATGAAAGTAAAATTACGGAAAGGAGAGAGATCAAGAGAGGGAGCGAGAGAGAAGACTGGACACGACGAAATGTTTTAACGGCCTTAACTGCGGTTTGGTCGTAAGTGAACATCGTTATAACGGTGAAGAGGAGCGCGTCAAGCTACGTCGATTATCGACGTGGCGAATTCTAATTGGGCAGGTGACATCTATCGGTTCTCTGATTGGCGGAAGAAACGCGAAACGAGTATACGGACGTCCGTTTAAGCTTCCGGTTGTTCATCCAATTGGGCTGTCCAGTTTGACAGGGGCCCAACTAACGTTTTCTATATTTTAATTTAAAAGTAATAATATTAAGTATTTATATTATTCTTAAATATTTAAATTATTCTCTATATTAACTTTTTTATTTTTTTTCCCAGTTTAATTATATGCAACAATACCTTTAACAATATTAATGGTATTTAATTAATATAAATTAATACAAATATTTTTGAAAAAATAAATAAATAAAAAGATTAAAAAAATTAATATAAAAATTAATTTGAATATTTTAATATTTGGACCAATAATAAAGCCCAAACCCATGAACACAACTTCTAAAACAAAAGCTAATAATTGAAATGTCAAGCAAAGAAAGGATAAAGTGATTAATAGTAAATAAATAAATAAACTCTTAAAGCTTAAAACCATTAGGCTTGGTGGCAATTAAACTAATTGTTACTCGTCTCTTTGTGCTCTTAATATGTAACTAAGTCAAGAGATTCAAATTTGGTTTTATAAAAGTTCGGTAGAAACATCGACACGTGCTCCGTCTTACAAGTTGAGCTTTAGAACGTCCTCGATGACCTGAAGATGGCATGGAACATGGGCATGCATAAAGTAATTTTTGAGACAGACATTGTATTTTTCGTTCAAGTTTTGAATAAAATTTTCTATAATGAATTTCTCCACGTTAACGTCAACCCAACCTGATTTAAGATATTAAAATTTAGTTGGATAAAAATTGGACATCGCAGATTTAACTTGTTTTTTTTATAAAAAAAAAAACCTGTCGTAATCATACTTTTTCCGTCAATCCTTCGTACGAACTCATTAAAATTGTTAAAGATGATCTCGTCAAGATTCTTCGATTTATAATGTATAACAGGTAAGTCATGTTTTGCTTCTAATCTCTTGTAATTGAAAAAAAAAAAAAAAAAAAAAGAGAGTAGGGTTAGCCAAGCTTCTCTTTTTGTGGTTAAATATTTGTGAAGCCCAATTTCAGCTTGAATTCAACTTGGAGAGAATCAATACAAGTTTTGACCATGTCAAGTTTAAATGTTCCAAAATTTGTAGTGTTACATTAAATTTTCAGTGGAAGAAAATGCCGACCCAAATCAATGTATGGAAACCGTGCAAGTGTCAACCCTGCAATTTTCTCCAATGAGAAATTTGAAGTGTGAGGAGACTTGGAGGAAAAGAAACTGAGAAGAGGTGATAGATAGAAGTTAATGGGGGGTGGGGTTTTGGTACACTTCAGTTAGTCAGGTTTCATATATACCCATTAAAGTCAAGGTGTTATATATCTATCTATCTCTATATATCTATATATATATATATATAGTTTCATGAGTGTTTTTGGGTTCAATATTGGGGAAACACCCTCTGAGTTTCTTTTCAGGTTTCTTACATACCCATTTCATAGATATGTAAATATATATATATATATAATTTTATATCACAATTATTAAGTTTAATCTGAATTTAATTAAAAACAAATTTTCTACGTTGGAACTGCAGAATTCATTTTTTAAAAAAAAAAAAAAAATTTTCAATATTTAAAATATAATAAAATTAAATATCGAATTTAACTTTTTGTTTTAGTAAAATAAACAATTAAATTAAA